TAGAATAATAAATATTAGAAAATAATTAAAAATATAAAAACTAAGAAAATAAAGAAGAAAATAATTAATAAATTATATAAGATTCGGATAATAATTAAAATTAAATTGAATAGTTTTAAAAAATAATAAATGAATAAGATTAAAATAATTAATAACAAGAGTAAGATACAAATATATTAAATTAAATTATTTAATCAAATCTAGAAATTTATTAATAACAAACAGAAGCTTTAAAGAAATAAATTTAAGGATATTTATAAAATATAGAAGAACTAAAAAGTTAAAATAAATTTTAATAAAATGATTATGAATAAAAATTAAATATATTATAAATAAATTAAGAATAATTAATTAATGAAATTAGTTAATAATTCTTATTAAAAATAAAAGATTTAGAATCTAAATAATAATTATAATAAGAGGAGTATTAATTAGAAATTTAAAATAAAAATAATTAATTAACTTAATTTTAAGAATAGATATCCTAATTTTAATAATAAACTTCTTAATTTTAAGAATCTTAGAAAAAAATAGTTTAAATTAATTAATAAAATGAAGAAATGATAATTTAAATTAATGAAAAAGATGAAATAATTAACATTTTATAAAAAAAAAATTAAGAAAAAGAAGATATTATACAATAAATAAATTCTAATATGGAATAATAATATTTTAAAAATAAAGAATAAACCGAAGAAGTTATAAATTAATAATTAACAAATTAATAAATATAGGAAAAAAATCATAATATATAAATACTTAAATAAGAAACAGAAGAAAATATAAATTTAATAGAAAATTTAGAATAAAAGAATAAAGAGATTTAAAATTTATAAGAATTAATTTAATAAAAATAATAATAAATAGAACAAATGGAAAATTAAGACATAGAATTAAAATAAAAATTGGAAAAAAAGTACAATGAAATAAATTAATTAGATACGGAATTAAATTAAAAAAATCTAATTTTAGAAAATAATTAAGAAGAAATAAATAAACTATATAATTAAATATAAGAAATAATAGAAAATAAAAATTAAATTGATTAAGAGAATTAAAAAAAAATTAGTGAAATTTAATAAGATTTTAAAAAATAAAATGAAATATTTTAATAAGAAATTTAATAATATAAAACTTAAATTAATTAAATATAAGATGAAAATTTATAAAAAAAAGAAATTATTTAAAATTAAAAAAAAGAATTTGAAATAGTAATTCAATAGTATAATACAAAACTATATTAATAATAAGATTAATAATAATAATAATAATAATAATAATAATAATAATAATAATAAGAAGAAGAATAAGATAATAATTTGATTAAATTTTTAAACTAATAAATTTAATAAAAAGAAGATTTAATATTTTAATTATAAACAGAAAAAGAAGATTATATTGATTAATATAATACATAAGATTAATAAAATAAATATTAAATTAATTAATTAGAATCTTAAATTATTGAAAGTGATGAATAAATAAAATAATTACAATCATAATTATAAAAAAACGAAAATTTAATTAATTTATTAAATAATTAAATTTTAGAAAAACAGAATTTATTAGAATAACTGTAAAATGAATACAATTAATTACATAATTAAAATTAATTAAATGAAAGTTAATTCGAAAAAATGAATTTATAAAATTAAGAATAAATACATTTAATAGAATAATTAAATCAAAACAATATTCTAACTAAGACTAGCAATAATTTGATATTATATAATAATAATTAAAAGAAGAAAACGACAAAGTTTTACAATTATAATAATATAGTTAAAAATTAAAAAATAAAAAAAAACTTTATAAACAAAAACTTTCAGATACTTAAGTTTAAAATTAAAATGTCTAAAATTAAGTAAATGAAGTAGTTTTTAATTTAAATGAAAAAATCTAGATTTTACAAAATTAATTATTATAATATTAAATTTCTTTATAAAAAAATAATTAAGAAGTAAATTCAGAATAAAATAATTAAGATTAAATAAAAAATTAATAACAGTAAAATTAGATCGAAATATTTTAAGAAAAAAATGAATATTAAAATTAAAACTTTGGAGATTTAGAATTAATATAATAATAATAAAAATAAACTAATTAAGATTAAAAAACATATTAAACTTAAATATATAATCATTAAGACGATAAACAATCATATGAAGGAGAATAAAAACAAAAATATGATCAATAAATACAAAACAATGAAGAATAAAAATAATAATATGAAGTATAAATATAACATTATGAAGAATAAAGATAAAAATAGGATGAATAAATATAATAATAAGAAGAATAAAAATAAAAATATGAAGAAAGATTATAATAATAAATAGTATAAATATAAAAATACGAAGAATAAATATAAACATATGAAGAATAAATATAACAATATATAGTATAAATATAAAATTTTGAAATATAAATATAATAATATGAAGAATAAAAATAAAGTTTTGAAAATAATATAAACGATCTTTAAGAAAAAATAGAATAATAAATAAATAAAAAGGAAACTAATATTTAAAAAGAAGAAAATAAATATAATTAAATTGATAACCAAAATTCTAAAATTAATTTAAATGAATAAATTATTGAGGATCAAGGTAAAGACTGTTAATTTAAAAATATAGAAAATGATTTTCTAAACTAAAAAATACTTTAAATAAAAAAACAATTAGAAAAAGAAAAAAATAATGAAATTTAATAAATTCAATAAAAACTTGCTATTTAACTTCAAAAATTAAATTAAAATAATTCAAATATATAATCTTAATGTATTGAAAATATTTCACATATAGAAATTTTAAACAATTCAAATAACTTAGATGTATTAAACAATGAATATCCAAATATTTAGGAATCTTAAATTAATCAGAATATAAAAGAACCAAATAGCGAGTTTTCAAATAAAGAGTCTTATTTAATTGAAGAATAATAAAATAGTCTAAATAGAACCGAAGGAAAATTATAAAAAGAATTTATATAAAAAGTAAAGGTATAGTTAAAAAAAGAACTTGAAATAGAAAAGTAATTATTAAAAAATCAATTAATTTAATAGATTTAAAACTTATAAAATGAATAAAAAACTTAACTACATTAATACGAAAAAAACATATAAATAAAATACAAAAAGAAGTATATATTAATGAAAAATGAATATATATAATTAATAAAGTCTGAATTTATATAAAAAACATAAAATCAAGAATATAATAAAAAACTATAAGAAACAACAGTAGATTAAGATTAAATATTAAATGAAGAAAATGGAAAAACATAAAATTTAGAACAAAATATAAAAGAAAATTAATGTGAATAAGATATAAATGAAATAAAATAAAAAATGAAGGAAAAAACAAAGAAAAAATTAATAAAAAATCATTAGTAAGACATATAAAGAATCCAAGAAATTCTAAAATAAAAATTATTTGAAAACGAGAAAAAATTAATAAATAAAACTAAATCAAAAATTCTAAAAATTAAAATAAATTTAAAAAATGCTTTTTAACAAAAAGAAAATCAACTTTAATAAATTTTAAAAGAAAAACTTTTAGAAAATAAATATATTTAAATATAGAATTTAAAAGAAGAATTTCTAAACTAAATAAAATTAAAAATTTCAAGGAAAAAAAGAAAAATAAAATAAGAAAAAGAGCAAGAAATTTAATAACTAAAGGAAAAATTTCAGCATGAATTAGCCGAAATAATTTAAAAACACGAAGAAAAGTTTCAAACAATGTCCATATAACATTAAAAATAATTAAAATAAGAAACTGAATTAATAATAAGTTTAGAAAATGAACTAATTTAGCAAGAAAATAATAATAAACACTTAAACCACGTCCTTTAATAAATACAATAAACTAACTAATAATTAGAAACTGATTTAAAATAAATACAAAATTAAAAATAAGAATAACAAAAATCCTCTTAAAGTTAATTAAATGAAGAATAAAACTAAGAATTAAATTTAATAGAAACATTGAAAGAAGAAACCGAAAAAAACAGAGAAAAATTGAAGATTTAAATACTGAATTACAAAAAACAACTGAAAAAAACGAAAAATTATAAATTATATAAAATGAACTTTTATAAGTAAACGAATAATTATTAGAATAAACCCATCATGAGCCCATAAATAGTATAGAACATGAACAAATAATAATTTATTAATAAAAATTAAAAAAGCTAACTGAAGAAAAGCAACTTCTACTCGAAGAAGTTGAAAAATATAAAATCTTATTAGAAGAAATGAATTATTAATTAGAAACTAAGAATTCTAGTAAAACATTAAATTTGAAATCGATAAAATTAAAGATTTAAGTTAATTAAACGATAGTAACAATTCTAATAAAAACTCATAGGAAGGAAGTGCAATTTCGAATAAATCCAGAGAAGAAAAAAACAAATTCTTTCTTAATTATAAAAGGCAAGTGCAAATGCAGCTAGTTTGCTAAGCTTTAGAAGAGATTAATCTTCTTAAGAGTTAAATAAAATAGGAAATTTATTCTTTTCCAGTTTTCCGTCAGTAGGATTAATAAAATCGGCGAGTGAAGAAAATAAAAACTAAATTCATTATCAAATAATTTATAAAATAGCAATAATGAAATATAGAGTGAGAGTAATAATAGTATATAATATAATAGTTATAATAAAATATAAAATAATAGTTAAAATAATAATAATAATAATAGTAATAATAATATATAAAATAATAATAATAATAATAATAATAATAATAATAATAATAATAATAATAATAATAAAGATTGTATTTTTTATTATTAGCCTTTAATATATATTTATTTTTTTTTTCGTTTATATATATATATATATTTATATATATACATTTTTTAAAAAATTATATATATCACATATATTATTTATTTAAAATTAGTTGTTATATATATATATATATATTTATTTTTAAATATAAAATATACCAACAACAATAAAAAAATATTTTTTCCTTATTTATAAAAAGTAATATCTTTTCAAAGTGAAGCATGCAAATTTTTTAATTTTTAAATCCATTCATATCCGTCGATAACAGGTTGTTAATTAATCGAATTATAATTTTTAGCCCAATTAAATAAATTTTTATATATTTCTCCATTTTAACTTCCAATCGCAGATCTTAACTACATATCTTAATACCCAAAAGCTTCTACTAATGCAAGCGCGTCATTCCTAATTTCGCTCAACATTTAATCTTTAATTTATTAAAGTAAGCTCAAATGATGACCAGTAATATACTCATTTTCAATTAATTATATAGGTTTACTTAATATTTTTGTAACAGCAAATAATGAGCACAATTTTGTTAATACGTTTTTAACATTTTCTTAAGTTTCCTATTAGATTCTTTCCTCAAAATTCATTACTGTGAAAACTAAAAAATGAGCTTTTGAAGCTTCCACTAATTCAATTCCTATTTTTTTACAAAAAAATAAAATAAAATTTAAAATTATATATATAAATATATATATGTATATACTATACCTGTATGTTTATCCCATGCTTCTCTAGACCCTTTTCCAGAGGAAATAAATGTAAGCATTTTATTAGCAGCACTTTAAATATGGAAAATCGCACTAGCAACAATAATTTTTTATAGAACTTACAAATTACTAATTTCATTAATTGTATTTACATTCTCAAGTTTAGTTCCTTGTATTTCAGATATAATTTTCATATATTAAACTGAAAAACCTAAAGGAAGTCCTTTCATTGCTTTTTCAGCTTATTTTAATAAAAATCTGGCTACCTACATGTGTAAAATAGTATTGTCTCCTTCCAATGTAACCATAGGTTTCCATTCCTAAACCATTCCAGGAAGTCCAGAATATTAAGAAAATCCATGACCTCCACAAGCTAATCTTATAATTTCTAAAAAATGTAAAACGCTTTCAGTCCATGTTGCTTTAGCACCTATATGACATATTTAAATTTAGTTAATATTATTGTATATATATATTTTTTACCTGAAACAACTATATGAGTTTCATTTAAAGTCGAAAAGTCATTTTTTTAAACTCTTTACATTAAATTTAAAAAAATATCTTATATTCTATAAGCACTAATCAATATCGCATATATTTCAGCTAAAGGAACAAATAATTTTTCTTATTAAGTTTAATAATCTAAAATTGTTCTAAAAAATATAATTATATTAATAATAAAAATACTTAAATAAAAATAAACCTTTCTTCTCCTTTACTATCTTTGAATTATTTTCTCAAAAGTGAATATCTAATCGCAACAGTTAAAGCAATACTTAAAGTTCTTGGAAAGAATGTCGAAATAGCCAATCTAGTTTAAACCATAACTGCGTATCCGATTTTAGGATTCCCAACTTGGGTAAAAACGCCCTCTTTTGAAACTTTCTAATATCTCATTAACATATTTTCTCTTGGAATTCTTACATTATTGAATCTCACAAACCCATTATCTTTAACACTAACTCCTACTTTTGGTCCAATATCACCTACTTATATGCCTGGAAGTGGATTATAGTTTTACTAATCCCTAATGGGTACGAAGAAAGTATAAACTCCATATTTTTTTCCTTTAATAATTAATTAGGCAAATACAGCTGCATGTGTACACCATATTCCGAGTTCTCCGACCCACCATTTAGTTGATGAAACTGTAGGCGAGTTTATTATAAATTATTGAGTGGTTTCGTCATATGTGGCAGTTGTTTCTAAAGACTAGACATCACTTCCGTGTCCTAATTCAGTTTGGCAATAGCAGCCGATTATTTTATAAGAGTAAATGTCTGGGAGCCATTATTTGCATTATTTTTCAGATGATAAGTGTTAAATACAGGGGACAAACATTACTTAATGAACAGAGGAAGGAAAACTGAAAGGAAATTGTAAAAAAATTAAGGAACTAGTACGTTATTCGTTCGCATTAAATTTTTAGTTGTGAATTGTGACGAATTTCTTGAAATGATTTGCGGAATATTTAATTTATTCGATTCTATTTAAATTATAGTATTCAGGATCTATTTATAATTCTTTTTATTCGTTTAAGAACTTGAATGATTCTTTGAAGAATTTCGCTTCCTCTTCATTTCGATAGGCATAACAAGAAAGCTAATCTGGAGTTACAGACGCATTTTTCAATTATTTTATAAAATTTGGATGCATTTTATATATATATATATATATTTTAATAAAAAAAAAAAAATTATTTGCCTTTTATTTATTTACAAATTTTATTATTATTTCAATATAAGTTATTATTTTTTTAAGAAAATGACGGACTTTATGACGTTTTATTTTTATTTTATATATACTTACTAATATATTATAATATAATTATATAAATATATATATCTATTTTTAATTTAATAATTGTTATATACAAAATACTTTAATTAATATTATAAAATATGCATATATATAAAAAAATAATTGAATTAAATAAGGTGAGGAGGGAAAGATGGGAAAAAAAAAAAATTATATAATATAATATTAAAGTATATAGAAAACAATATGATATTAATATGATATATATTTTTATATTCATATAGAAAATAATTTATTTAAACATTTAAAACTTAAATAACAAAATTATTTATATATAAAACAATTCTTTTTAAAATATTATACAATTATAATATGTAATATACTATTTTATATTATCATAATAATATATAATAATATACTTTATTTTTATATATATTTTATAAAAAAAAAAAAAACATTTTTACTAAAAACTAACCTATTTAAAAAAACTACTAAAAATATAAATTAAAATAAATCTAATTCATCATTTTATAAAATATAATAAAACTCATTACTATTAAAATATAGAAATATTAGGTTTAGCTACCTTTCTTTTTTCCTTCTAACCTGTATTTATACAAATCATTTCATCCCAACTATAAGGTAACATAATTTATTCTTATTTTTTTTTTTTATAAATTAATAATATAATAAAAAAAAATACATGTATCTTAATTTTTTGCAAAAATAACACCTAATTCATCTTCATTTACAGAAAGGTAAATTTTTTAAGAATCTCCAAATGAAATCTAAATTGAAAAAAAAAATAAAAAAAAAAAAAGTTAATAAAATAAAAGGAATATTATATATTTATACAAATTTAGCCTTTACAATATCTCCAGGAATAAAGCATTCCTGCATTTTTAAAATATCTAAATTTGTTAATCTTATATCTTATTTTCTTATTATTCCTTCTATGTTTTAATTTGTCGGGATATCGTCTACTATCATTATTTTTAAATGAACTTAATCTTCTTTTATTCTTTAAACCTTAAAATTTTATATATTTATTCTTATGATTTTTATACTTTTGCTATAACATATGATCCAATTTTTAATTATGCTGCCTTATTTTTCGATTAAGGTAATATATTTACACTATTATTTTCTTTATTTATTTAACATTTGCCACATATTGATGCTATAATTCGACCATGTGATACATAACAACCTTCTCCTGCAGTATATTTGCCATCTCCAATATCTTTTTTTTATAAAAATAATTATTAATTATATTTTAAAATAATTGCTATACTAATAACTTATCCTGGAATAAAAAGAGACATGCTGTTTTTATTATAAATTTATTTTTATACTATATAAAATATGAATTAATATATTTTTATAAAGAAAATTTAAAATTTATATATATTATAAAAAAGAATTAACTTAATAAAATATAGATTTATTAAATTATCTTTGTTTAAAAAAACTTTAAAATATAAAAAAAATTATTTGAAAAAAAAATGCATAAAGAAATCGTTTAATAAATCGATGTAAGTATATGCAAAAATTAAATTAATATTTGTTAATTTTAAAATAAAAAAATAATTAATAAATTCATTATTTTTAATATAAAAAAAGGATTGCAATAAACTATTATCTGATAAATTTTCAACAATAAAATCAACATGTAAAGCTTTTGTAGCCTATTATAAATCATTCGCAAATATTCAGTAAAACTATTCCGAACAATTAATAAAATTAACTAAAACAGGTAAAAATATATAGAATTAAATATATATATAAATATATATATATATATATATATATATATAAATATATTTTTATATATATATATTTATAATATAATTAGCTGGTAAATACATGGGTCTAAAAAAGACTGTACTAGAATGCCGAGAGAATGAAAATCCGTAAATTTTTAATTAAAAAAATAATTAAATATATTAATAAAATCAGAACTATACAATATTTGATAGATTCGCAATTAAGTTTTATATTAAGTTTATCTGATATAAACAATGAAATAACTTAAAAAATAAATAATGAATTATTATTTCATTTAAATTAAATATATATGGAAAGTAAAATGATGAAAAGTGATTTTTTACGTGTAATTTAAAACGAAATAAAAAAACCAATTTAATTATATCAAGAAAAATTAAAAAAAAATACTGCCGAAACTAAAAAAAATCCCCATAATTTAGAAATGTAAAAACAGGTAGATTTACTACAAAAAGAAATATCAGATTTTGAAGGAAATTCAGTAAAATAAATTTTAAAAATGCTAGAGAAAACTACTTAGTAGGAAAATAAAAGAAATTTCGATTTAAAATAGGTGATTGCTCAATTTGGTTAGTTAATAGGAAAACAATTGGAAAATATGGTAAGAATTTCAAATAAAATAAATGATAATTACACAAAAATTTAACTTGAACCTTCCACCTTTGATGTATAATAAATTGAACTTTAATTAAAAAGTACCTTTTCGAATGGTTTGGATGAAAATAATAAGAATTTTAGCCCTTTAAAAAATAAGAATATACAAAAATAATAATAAGATTCACAAATTAATAAAAAAAGCTTAGGAGAAAAAAAGGAAGAATTTAATTAAAATTTAAAAGAAAGTCGAATCAGGAAAATTAATATAAAATACGATTCTGTTATTATTAAATAAATCCCAAATATTATTAAAAATTAATAAGGAATTTTTAATATTGAAATCCCTTTTTCAGAGTAAAAAAAATATACTATACAAATTATATAAGAATTAATATATAATATATATTAAATATAAAGAGATTTTTCAAAATAACTGTAATTTAATCAATTCGGAATTTTAATAAGTATATTAGGTAGAAATTATTATAAAGACTAAAAAGAATAAAACGAGAAGAATATAGAAGAATTAGAGTCTTATTTAGGTTTTTTAAAAAACAAACTAAAAATAAACTTAAAAGACTTTAAATTAATCCAAAAATTATATTCGAAAAATCAAGAAAAAAAAAGTACTCATAATTATCTATAAAATATATTCTAAGATTCTCTTGAAATACTTAAACGTCCTCCAGAATAAATTAATGAAGAAGAAACTTCATTTACATTAAAATTTTTATAAAATTTATATGTTTTTATTGCTATTAATTAATATTGGAAGGATATTTTATTGCCTAAAGCATTTTCTAATGATAATAATGAAAAAATAGTAATTACATATAAAAATAACTTCGAAATTATCCTGAATATATTTCAAAGTGATAATTCTAATAAGTAAAATATACTTTAAAGTTCTTTTTTGAATCTTTTTTAGGACATAAATATCACTTTTCCTTTAAATTATTCCCTATGTTAAATTATGATGCCTTTTTTTTTCGAGAGTAATGATTAAATGTGTGATTTTTGGTAAGATTATTTCCAAATAAGTGTTTCTTTTGCACAAAAAGTGCTCTAAATTCCTCCTGCGAATTTCTATTTGATTTTTTTAAATTATTTTACGAAAACATTCTACATTCTAGTCTAATTCTTAAAGAAAAAATACTAAACTTATGTAAAATATTGAACCAGTTTTGGACGAAGCTTTAAAATAAATTTTCCAAAAATTAAAAAAAAAAGGAAGAAATAGAAAATGAACCAGAATTACAAAAATGCCTCAAATATAAACTATCAAATAAAGTCTTTTTAAATTTTTCAGATATTATTAAATCTTTCTGGATATATTTCCCACCAAATGAAAACTATATAAGGTGTATTTGTAATTTATTAATAGTATTTTCCTTAAATTAATAAGAATACACTATATATAATGATTTATAATAGATGATAATTTATATTTTTACATGTGGAGGATTTAAATTTGCATCTAATTTTTATAAAAAAGCTTCATTTTAACCACATGATACATTAGATAAATACACAAGTATTTTTTTTATTTAAAAAAAAAATTATTAAATATAATATATATATATTTATATTTATTTATTTTTTAATAAAAAAAAAAGTGCCAAAAATAGGTGATTTATTAAAAATTATTAATAGTAATTTAAAAGGATTAATTAATAATTATATTCCTTTGTTTACGAAATTTCTAGCACCGTTTTTTGATTTAAATCCTGAGGAAATATAATCTGAATTCATTAAAAGTTTCATTGAAGGAGCTCTGGCAGAAATTATTAAAATAATAAATTTACATATAGATGAAAATATAATAAATAATGATAATTCTATATTCTCTTTTTAAATTGCACATGAACTTTCTAAATTAGATGATTTTATGTCTTCATTATAAATTAATAATTATTAGTCTTATTATTTAGTTATGACACCTTTTCTTGAATATTGGTTTAATAATATGTAAATATTTTTTTAATTTAATTATTTTCTTTTTAATTTTTATATGTGTTCTTTTTTTTTTTTTTTAATATAAAATTATATATTAAGATTAATTTTATTATATTTATTTAAAAAATAAGGGAATACTAATGCAAAACAATGCTAAGAAATTGTTTAAACTAAGAAAATTGGTAATTTACTTATAATATTGTTATATATTTATTTTATAATATAAAGGTAAAGTGGAGAAGGTTAATCCCTTTATACAAAATCAGTTATAGACTATTGTTCTTTATTATTTAAAAGTATAGAGATATTACAAGATTTAATAGATGTAAATGATTAGAATAAATTTAAATAATATATAAAGAAAAAATTTGAAATATTAATAAATGAATCTATGAATGATTATTCTAAGGAAATTAAAAATAGTTTAAATTATTTAAATTCTATAAATAATCCGATTTTCACTAAAGCTTCTATTTCTAAAAATAATTAAAAAAATAATGAAAATGAAGTTATTTCTAATTGTAATCTAATCTATTTTTTAACAAAAAAATTATAATATTTTTTTATTTAAAGTAAAAGAATTAAAATCTGTATGCTTTAGATTTGGAAATCTATATTTCTTAAGTGAATAAATAAAAAATATATAAGAAAATATAATTAAAATGAATATAAATACAATTCAAGGAGTAAAAAATGAATTCTTAAATATTGCAAATGTAAAACATTAAATATAAATATATATATATATATGATATTATATATATATATTTTAAATAATAATTTTATTTATATAATATTTATTTTATATTAAAAAATAAATTAATTAGGATATTTCAAAATTAACATCAAAATTAATTGTTTCACATTTTTGGAAAAAAAACTTATTTTCTAAAATAAATACTAATTTTGAATACTAATAATTTAAAGAATTAGAATTAGAAATATTTTAAAAATAATGTATTTATTTAAACATATATAATAAATTTTTGTAATTTTTTATTAATTTTAGACAATTTTTCTATACTAAATTTATTAGAAGAATGTGAAGATTACTATTAAATAATAAACAAAAGAGTTCCAAAAGAATATTAATAAATTCTTTGGGAAAATATAGCAAGATAATTCTGCTTAGAATATTTTTATGCAATAATAGATGTAAATAAATATACATTTGATATTGATTATGAGAAATACGGAAAATATTTAAAACTAGAAATTAATACAATTAAAACTACTTTAATTAAAAAGTGAATATAGTAAATATAAATATAATATATATATATATATATAATAATTTATTCATATATATATAGTACATTCTATTGGAAAATTTACTTTAGCCTATAATAGAAATTGCATTTAATTTTGAAAATAATATATGTAATGTTTTAAAGATATATGAATAAAATATGGTAAATAATAAAAAAATATAAAATTAAATACAATTAAATAGGCTGAAAATAATGATTATGAATGTTAAAAATTATTTAGAATAATATATATAAGAAAAAAAGAAAAAAATAATAAACAAGAAGAAATAATAAAAAAATATAAAAAATTTTATCTAAATATATGATTTTAAAAATAAAATTTAAATAATATATATAATTCTTCAGTGATGATAATCAAAATATTTTTCAATAGTATATACATTCCACACAATTCCAATAATAAGTCCTTTTAAAAATTAAATTTTCTACCCATTCCTTGATATATTAGTAACAATTTATTCTTTCTACCTAAGCATATCAAACTAATTAAATCCCATATCCCACAAAATACTAACGGCTGATATATGTAATCTAAAAATTGCAATGTCTTTTAGTATATTCTTTTATTATTAAATCTCATTCTAATTCTAATCTTTAAATTTTCTGACAGTTTATTCTTTAGGAATGAACTTATTAGGATACATATTTTACATAAAATTATATAATACACATATATTTATTAAATGAAACAATATATGGTTTATTCCTATATCAAATAGCAGTGTTTTTTTTTCAGCCAAATAAAAAAAATTATAATTTGGAAGTCCCATATTTTTCAAAATTTGTTTATTTACAAAGCTTTAAAATATCTTCATTGGAGTCATATATCCCATATAAAAATATCCTATGTATTTTAATTTTTCCTTATCCCAATATTTCTTATCTATTTAAGATAATACCAATGATATTGTACCTACATAAACACCACCATGTACTATTGTAGGTATTAAACGAGAAACAAAATATGTAGCTTTTTTCATTTTATATATTTATTAAAATTTTTTAATATAAGTATAGATATTTATTGATTTGATTAAAAAATTATTTTTACTCTTTTATTTTTATGAAAATAAAATATTTAATAAAATTGTTTTTTTTGTTTTTTAATTATTTTATATAAATAATTAAATAAAAAAAAAATATGTCAAGAATACCAAGAAAATCTTAATTATAACTTTCAGTATTATAATTTTATAGAGAAACATTAAAATTTGCAAATATCAAATCTGAAGTAAGTTTATTTACGAGGTTTATTTATATTTTTTTATTTTTATTTTTTTACTTAATAATATTAAATTATAATTTAATAATTATTTATTTATATTATTTAAATATTTCATAAATAAAGCCAACAAAATCAAGCCTGAAGAAATATATTTAGGCTTAATTTAAATAAAATGCACAAATACCAAGAAAAAACTTTACACAAGTAAATTAAAAATATATATATAGAAAAACATCAATAATTTAATTTAATATATGTAAATTTAAAGATTGAATATTAATTAAGATAAGGAAAAAATAGATTTAAAATGATTAAGGAATTCAATAATATTGATTCTATAAACTTTATGTGAAAAATATAAACTTTAATTTAAAAATATAATTTAATAAAAAAAAAATTTAATTATTTTTTTTTTATTAAAATTTTATAATCAAATTTTTAATTAAAATATATAAAATTATATATTATAATAATATTTTCGGTTTTTAGAAAGTTATAATTTCAAAAATAGGTTATTTTAATAATTCTCAATAAAACTTTCTGGATAATTCTAAAGCTTTTAAAAAGCATTCATCTTTTTCTTAATTTTATAGTTAAATTTGCTAATTATCAACTGTTTAAAATATAGATTTTATTATAAAATAAAACAATATTAAATAAAATACTTGCTTTTTTTACACTTTTAAATTATTTTTAATATTTTTGTTTTTATTTTAAATTCTTTTTGATAATTTTTTAAACTTTTTTAACTTTTTAAACAATTAAATTTTTATTTTTATTTTTTTATTTCTAATAATTGCTAAACTAAGTAAAAAATTAAAAATCCTGTTTATTTAAATTAGAAATATTATATTATGAATGCTAAAATTATAAATTATTTTGATTCTAAAATTTATTTTATTACACTGAGCATATATGGATATCAAATTCTTTATTAATAGGGTTAAATTAAATTAAAATATATATATATATATATATATATATATATATATATATATATATTTATACATTTATATAAATTTTAAAAAAAACTATTAATTTTTCATCAAAATATTTATTTTATTATATATTAAATGTTATTATTATTTTTTTACAAGATAATATTATAGATTAACTGCATTTATCACAATAACTTGTTCTTTAAGAACATATGTTAACATGCTCATTTTATTTTTCGTTTAATATAAATTCTTTACAATAATTACATTATTAAGTCCTGTTCTAAATCTCTACTTTCTAATGCTTTTCAATATATTAGTTTTCGATAGAAATAGGACAATATTAGCATTTTATCTTTTTATATTAATTTCAAAATAATATATTAAAAATATTATACAAATTCATGTTTATCTAAATGATCCTTAATATCTTTTTTATCATAATAAACACGGCATTAGTTACATTATAAAATATTTCTTATACAATATGCTTCGTGTAATAAAATTTTATCTTAATCAACAAACTTCTTACTATTTTTTATAAGTTATATTATTTTAAGAAAATACTTACCAATTAGAACAATATGACATTTTATTGTATTTTTCTTATACAATTTAAAGCTAATTTATTATTATTAAAAATAAAACTATAATGATTAGTAGTTAATATAATAATAAATTTTTATAATTTTAAAAGATAAATATTTTGGTCAAAAAGATATTAAAACAAATTAATAAATAAAAAATATAGAATTATATAATATATTTTAAATTTAATATAAATATAATAATATTAAATATTAATATATTTATTATAAAAATATACTCAAATAATTAATAATTTATATATATTTGAAAATATATCAATTATATATTATTAAAATATTTTTTCAAATAAATTTATTTTATTTATGTTAATTGGATAAAAATATAATATGATTTCATTATAATAATAACATATGAATATAAAAAATAATTTTATATTAATTATTATAATTTTTATATATTTATTAAATAAAATAATAAAAATTTTATATTTAATATATATGTTTTTAATTATTATTTAAATATACATTAAAATAATATTTTAAAAACATTATATATGTATATATATATATATATATATATTAATATATATATATATATATATATATATATATATATATATATATATATAATTAATCGAAATTAACATTTAATATTCATAATTTATATATACTTTTCAAAACCTCTATCAAACTCTTCTTACTAATCGGTTTTTACAAAAATTATTTAATATTATCCACATTAAATTATATATTTTCATACCCTGAACACAAATATACCGGAATATTAGGTTTGATTCCTAAAACTATTTACGCAGTGCTAACCCCATTAATTTCAGGCATATCATAATCCATAAAAATGGCATCATAATCATTCTACCTAACCTAACATATACACTATTCTCCTGAGTAAACCTTATCAATATTAATTTAATTAGCATTAAGTATTTCCTATATTTACTATTCTAATACAGAAATATAGAAAACATTATCATCTACAATAAGAATATTATACTTATATGATTTTTAAATAATAACAATTGAATAATCATTAACAAAATTCTATTCAGTTTAATGTTTACTTTATATAATTTTAGAATTTTCTTGTATATTACTCATTTTAAACATAACAGAGTTAAAATTATTTATTTACCCAACCGAATCATTATTTTTTTCCGACTAAATATCCTATGAATTTTCTTAAGAAAATTTCTATTAATAATCATATATTAAAAACGAAAAAACAGTTCCTTTTTCCCAATCCTCGCATTAAAGTCCTCTTTAACTACCAGAAATTCTTTTTGGTAATAAATTTATTGCTAAAGAATTACTTATTATCAATCCTAAATAAACTATTTAGGAGTTTATTTCGTGATTGCCTTCTATATTTTAAAAAGCTTTGAAAATAATGTGTTTTTGTTCTTGTTTTATACCTACTCCTGTATCTTTTACTGACACTTATACGCATTTTGAGTCTGAATATTGATTTAATTCTATATAAATACAACCTTATTATGTATATTTTATTGAATTGTTTATCAAATTTATTAGTATTTAACGTATTCTATATTAATCTGATGATAAAATAATTTCATTCTAAAACTCATTGACCATTAAATTAATTTCTATATTTTTTGTTTAAGCAATTACAGTCATTAATACTATTACATCTTTTATTACTTCAAGGAGGCTAAATTATTAGATTGAAAGAGAAAATTTACCAGCTTTTAATTAAGACATGTCTAATATATCATTAAGTAAATTTTTTAATATTAAAGAATTTGATAAAGCAAGTTCTAAAGATATATCTTTTATATTATTCTTAATTATTTATATATATTAAAAAATATATAAATTATTGTTCATATTAAATAATTTTCTTTTAATTTATTATTTTTATTTAAAGTTTAATTTTTTTATTTTTTTTACTTTTTTCATATTTTATATCATTCTAATAACATATGATAGTGGATTTTTT